AGAATATGTAGAATATATCACAAATTCTAGAATATGTAGAATATATCACAAATTCTAGATAACGTATTCTACACGATGTTATAGAAAACAAAACAAATAGTAGAATATGTATTATATACTCGGTGGATCTTATATCAAATACTAGAAAACAATTTCTATAAAACACTAGAATTGCAGAAGGTGTTTTCTAGAACATATTAATAAATAAATTTTAAATATGTGTATTTCCTTAAACGATGTTTTAGAATAATATTCTTTCCTTTTTTGGAATTTTTGAAATTTAAATGTATATATAAATATTTATTTAGAAAAATAAAAGTATTTAATAAGGTTATTTTGTCCAAAATTGCCAAAAGTTAAAAAAAGTACTAAGAGGACAATTACCTCCATTTTTTGTTCTATATTTCCAATTTTCCCTTAAATATTCCTACTTTTCCTACATGGTCCAACTCATTAATTACACATGAACCTAATGATGTCATATGAATATCTCAAATGTTAATTTCATTGTTTTCAATACCAGATTAGGACAATATCTCTCTTGAAGATCGAATAACACATCTTCAAAATGAGAAATTCAAGAGAAATGTTGCTTTGATGTGACATGAACATGTAATTCTTTCCGGATCCGGGGAATTAGGACTTTTGTCCAGAACCTCATAATAATTAAAAAAAAAAAGCAAAACAAAAACATGTAATTCTTTGAACAGACTACAGCAAAAAAAAAATGAAAACTGAGTTTGGCAAAGATCAAGTAATCATAAATCCAATCATACAGAGCAATCTTCTTGAGCTAAGCCTCACTCCTCAGTACCTATCTCCGCCAACCATCCTTGAAAGATCCCATTCTCGAGCAAGTACCAGATGCGCTTCATACTGATCTTGCGCTGCTGCTTCATTATCTGGTTGTAATCAGGACCTATCTCCTCTCTCCTTCCAATTAAAAAGATTGATCTGCATCATGAGCAACCAACACTCCTGAATTGTAATAAAAAGGTAGTAAAAACAAATATACTAACATGTAAGCACATATATCTTCAATTATCATGCAAATATTCATCTTTGTTTGGTTCAAACCCGTGGTTCATGTCACAATTCACTTTTTTGTTCCTTTCTTTTTAGGTTTAATTTGAGCTCTTCAACTATGGCTTTGGTATACTTGTAACCCTGGATTGATTACGCTATATAAATTCATGCCACTTTGCGTTTGTTTGACAGTTTTTACTTCTTTCGCAATTCAGTTATTTCTCTCTAACTCACTCGCTCTAGCCACCATTTTTTAGATATTGTGATCTATTTGACCTTCAAAAGCCGATTCTTTCATCATCATCGCCCTTGTTTCTCCTTCTTTCTTTTTCTCTCCCTCGTCACATGCACGACCACAAAATCCTATCATGTGTGAAATTTTCATCTTCGTATTCCTCTATTTTCTTTGGGTTTTTTTGTTTATCTTCTCCACGTAATTTTGATTGTAACCTTAACTTTTATAACTTAAATTATCAACGAAAACAAATCGTAGCATGAGAGAACAGCTTCGCTAACAGCTTCGCTGGTGAGAAAAGTTGGAAAGCTGCCTGATGTATAGTTTCACATCGTTAACTATATAAACCCCAAATCAGATTCTGTTGATTCTGGAAGATTTAGCCTCAAACTTTTCCTTTAAGATACCTTTGACCGGATATTAGTCCTTTTAGGGTCAATGATATTAATCTTTTCTTATAAGTTATCGTCAGATTTCAGATGTATATATTCTAAAGGATTAAACATCATATTTTATTTGTGTCAATAAATCTGCTGCAACTCTCTAATCGAGACATCTCATCAATATATCTGATCAACGTTCCGTAAGCCCATACAAACATGTTCATCCCCATCAAATTTTGATTAAAACATTGAAATATTGTTTGCTAGTACCTATAAAACACTAACCGTGTGATCAGCAAGGTTGTCACGGACTCACAAATATCCAGAATCTGCATTCTCTACATAATTGTTCAGTTCCTTGATAATTCTTCATAGAAATTAACAGTTATTTCATATTAAAAGCAAATAAATAGATATTTTTTGGATGTGCAGTATGATATACCATCAAACTTCGACAAAAACAATAAACAAAGAAGACAGCAGCAAACTAATCCAGATCAGAAGACAAAAATAAACTGAGCAATCACCTCATGTCTTCGATTTCGAATTCATAGCCCTCGCTGAGCTCCGGTGAAGAATGCTGCAAGCATACATCGAACGAGACAGAGAGGTTCCACGGAATGGCTTCACCGGATAGTGCTATTATCAGACATTTCTAGGGGTTCTGAGAATAGGGTTTCACATTGACAACAATAAGAGAAAAAGGGAGGGAGAGAAATTCAGCAGCATCGATATCAGCACAAAATTTAACATGAAGATCCAAACAGAATAGCAACATACTTATTGTCATCAAGTCTGGAAACTGAATTCATGAGATGTATTAAAGCCTAGAGTTGCCATAAGTCGAGGTGTCCATGGCCTATGCTTGCGATCCAGAAAGCGATTACACTACAAGGTCCAAGCCGTAAAGTGAGTACGTCGACAACCTTTATCTAGGCCCACACCACCATCAAAAGAAACCTCGCAATCTGGGAGATGGAAAGGAAAAAGGCTTACACCTAAGAAGAAACAAAAAACAAATACAACCAAATCTATTATATTAAAAGAGAAGCACTTTTAGTGCTTGCTTCCAAACACTCCCTAATTCTTTTTAATGATATTTTATTTTATATATAATTTTTAAAATTTAGTTATTAATTTAGATATTTTAAAGCTCCCTAAAATCTAAGTCATCTTTAATTTAAATTTTAAATTATTGAAAATTTATAATAATTAAATTTAATTGCAAAAATCTGCATTCAATTTAATTTAAATTAAAAAATAATTTAAATTTTATTACGAAAATTTAGATAATAATTTTAATACTTTAGAATTCCTTAAATACAGGTTATATTTAATTTAAAACTTTAGATTTAATTTAAAATTTTAAATTTAAAGAATATTTTCATAAAAATGCATAGTAAAAAAATATTTTATCGTATTTTATCATAATCAATCGGTCTAAAATATCAAAAATTTTAGATTAATAAATATTTATATTATACAATTATATATATATATATAAATATATACATTTTGTAATAGCACAAATAGTAAATAAATATCTTATTATATTTTTCATAATCAATTGTTCCAAATATTCAATATTAGTAAATATTTTTAGGGTTATACATTTATAATTATAATCTTATACGGGTTAGTTTGTCAAACATGTAAGATATTAAAAATAATTTAAGACAACTAAACTGACGGGTTAGCAAATTCATAGATATATAGATTGTTTATGTGTAAATCTAAATTCACATAATAAAAAAGTTTATAATTAACATTTAATCAATGTATACTTAATTACCGTATACTCTTATTCTACTAATATACAAATTTTTACTGTTTAAAATTAAAACATGATAACAATTTTTTGATTAAAAAAAATAAATAAAAAAACAAATTATATCTAAACAAAAAAATAAATGCAACTTATATTAGAAATATAAAAAAATTCTCGTGCAGATGCACAGGGTTAAAATCTAGTAATAAACTAATCAGAAAACATATGAGTGAAAAAACATTATTTTCATCAATAATAACCATAAATTCGCACGGGAAACCAAGATTTTTAAGTGACTAAAGCTTTGGAATATCTGAGAATAAGATTAGTAATTAGTAATAAAGATTCAAAGAAATTAATGATCGATCTGAGAGTCAGTGAGTCAATAGAGAAGTACAGATTTCAAAGCCGTTGTGATCAACTTTTCATGGTCCTGCTTCTTTTCTTTCTTTTTGAACTACCTCCCCATTTCTTGTTTCATCGGAAGTTTTTAGCTAGCATCCTCTTCTTCTCAGAAACAGGCAAGTCTCTGCTTGCAAAAAACTCCAAGAAGAACCACTTTCGATATCTTCACAAATCTACTAAACCCAGCACCTAAACATCAAAACCAAAAAAAAAACATCAAACGAAGAATAACAAAAGATGACACATATACATATAAATTTCAACGTTAAAAAAAATACATATAAATTTCAACTTTTGCCAAACAACAAATCGGAAAAAAGCAGATCATTAGAGTAATACAAATGAACAAAAACAATAAAAAAGAATCGTACAGAGAGTAATACAGATCAAAACAATACAAAAAGTAAAAAAAAAAACAACGAACAAAATACAAAATCAAATCTCACTAGAACAGTCCACGAAAACTATCTCAAAATAGCTTCATTGGATTAGTCTATGTCTTCATTACCTCCCGCAACCATCTCAGAATAATAAAACAAAATCCACAAGAACAGTCCTAGAAGATCAAAACCAAAGAAAACATAAAATCTCCGATCAATTAGTAACTGAACATAAAGTTAAAAAATAGAAAGCAAAGTTAAGATATACCTCGACAAAGAAGACTACAATAGAAAAGCAACAACAACATCAACAAAAAAAATAAAAAGCATAGTAAAAGCAGGAATCAAACACCAAAAAGAAAATATTACATATGAGAAAGTTTAACCAAAGATTTTTTTTAAAAATAATATGGAAGAATGAATATAGGAGATATATTTGTATAGCTTTTCAAGCATAGGGTTTCCAGTGCTAGGTTTTGTTTAGATTGCATAAAATAATGAATATGGGCCGACGATATCGAAGTCTACGCCGTTTGTAAAAAGATTTGGTTAATATTTTTGGAATTATTTAATTAACTAAATTTATTTTTTCTCATTAAGGGATAAGAGGATTAACCATCTGAAACTCAATGAAAGGCCTTCATTGCTTATTTTGAACTCATTTTTAATATATATGATGATATATTGATGTAATGGCAACATTAAATAATATTTTGACTTCAAAATACTTTTTGATAGTATTGTCGAATATTATGGCTTTTGAATTTTGTTGACCAAAACTAGTTTAATTATTGTTGGGTTGAAAGAAATTTAAGATAAGATTTTCATAGATATTTAAGAAATAAAAAAAACAAACAAAAGAAAGATCCTACAGCATTTTTAGATCACATTACACACATTACATTAGTATTATACATTACAATTTCTTTATTTGAGTAATTAAGCTGCAATGGCGCTGTTTAGAGCTTCTGCTAATGCAACATTTTCATTAACATTATTCTTCATCATGTTACCACATGCACCGTTTTTTTCAGCCGCCTCCGCAAAGCACCTACCACTCTTCTTCTCTGCCACCACCGCAAAGCACCTGGCACTGTTATCAGCCGTCACCGCAAACCACCTAGCACTCTTCTTCTCAGCGGCCACGGCAAAGCATCTAGCACTCTTCTTCTCAGCCACCACCGCAAAGCACCTAGCACTCTTCTTCTCAGCCGCCACCGCAAAGCACCTAGCACTCTTCTTCTCAGCCGCCACCGCAAAGCACCTAGCACTCTTCTTCTCAGCCGCCACCGCAAAGCACCTAGCACTCTTCTTCTCAGCCGCCACCGCAAAGCACCTAGCACTCTTCTTCTCAGCCGCCACCGCAAAGCACCTAGCACTCTTCTTCTCAGCCGCCACCGCAAAGCACCTAGCACTCTTCTTCTCAGCCGCCACCGCAAAGCACCTAGCACTCTTCTTCTCAGCCCCCACCGCAAAGCACCTAGCACTCTTCTTCTCAGCCGCCACGGCAAAGCATCTAGCACTTTTCTTCTCAGCCGCCACGGCAAAGCATCTAGCACTCTTCTTCTCAGCTGCCACCGCAAAGCACCTAGCACTCTTCTTCTCAGCCGCCACGGCAAAGCATCTAGCACTCTTGTTCTCAGCCGCCACCGCAAAGCACCTAGCCCCCACAGCACTCTTCTCAGCCTCAGCAAAGCACCTAGCACCCGCACGGGGCTTCTCAGCCGCCAACACAATTGGAGTCGTCACCGCGCTGGCTTTCCAATACCTTTGACCAAATATTTCTTCCCATTTAGTAGTAGTTCCGGAGAAAGCAGTCTCGAGCTTCTTATCTTCGCTTATGTCATCAGAGTCTGTATCATCATCATGCTGTAAGATGTTACCAAAGATCATTTCCATATCCTTGTAGTAAGAAGAAGGGTTTAGCTGATGTGTGTGCCAGATTAGATCAATATCGTAAGTAGGAACACTGATTAGTTTGATAGACTCTTCGCGGTTTCTCTTGATCAAGTAGAGAAATGCTTTGTATCTACCAACAGCTTCTTGCATAATGGTGTCACTATCTACATGGGCTCTTGAAACCTGTATGAAAGATTAGAAACCTTGTGAAACATAATGAATGATCAGAGTTGAAATAAATTCCAAAAAAACTTCAGTTGTAGATAAAAGAAAGAATCCATGCTTCTATCACAAAATTTTCAAAATAATGTTGTAATAATTACAAACTTTTAGTTCTGTAATTAACTTTAAATAATTTATTAATTGTTACCTCAGAATAAAACGAACTTTGCCTCTTGACAGCCGAAACAAGATCATAGGTGGTGCATTTCTCAACAGTTGAGATATCCTCCGGCTCTGATATTGCCTTATCCAAATCAAGATCATAAGGCTCCATAGGATACAATCTCTTCCATAGATTCTCAGTTTGTAATTTGCAGCTTCCATTTTCAGAAGATACAATGTTGGAATTGTCAAGAACTCTCCCGTAGAATTGCTCACAATCAGACTTGTACCTCACCTGGATGATTAACAAAGTCATGAGCTATATATTTCATAGTGTGCATTTTGCATTTGTGAAGTGTATGCAAAGATATATAGATTACCGGATTAAGCCTGTGGCAATGCCAAACCCATTCACAGTCAAAAGGAGGGACTAATGGTCCTTCGAAGGTCGGGGAAGACTCGGAATATTTGGCTAGCAAAGGAAGCCAGAAAGCATTGTATCTAAACCCCAAAAAAATTCACCAAATCACTCAAATTTCTGAGTTTTGATAGAAAAAAAAAACCTAACCAAATTTTATCTTAATTCGTTTAATTTAAAAAAATTGATACATCGTATGATGCCAACCGATTCAGTGATTTTGTCTACCTGTAGATGGCTCTTTTGAGTATAGGACCATCGTAGAGACACCGGTTCCTATCAACAACTCCGAGGAACTGAAGTTGTTGCTTGGCAGCAGCAAATAGGTCAACGCTTATCTCTATCTTTTGCGCTTCAAGCCACTCCAATGTTTGCATCATTTCTTTCTCCATCCTTAAGATTTTGGAAATTTTACCTGTCAACATATGAACAAGAATAATTCATGAAAATATAACTTCGTGGATATCAATGAGCAAAGATTGCCGATGATTTTATGAGAAATTTTTCTACCTTAAAAACAAGAGACCCCAAACTTTTGAACTTTTAACATCTTGAAGAAAAACACATTTGACAAGGATGAACAAAAATATTTCAAACTATACCTCAGGAAAATTTTCGCTGATGATTGACGAATAAGCTGATTCGAGTTTGAGTGAGGAGCTAGGGGCTATCAAATGCTGCTATTTATAACGGCTTCTGCTCTCTTCTGTACGTAAACACAAAGGGACGTTACTTTCTTCTGTTTGCCACTTGTACATCATCATTAGCCAACTCTACACAAGTGGAAAGTAGAAACTAAGGTGGAAAAAGAAAAGAAAAAAACCAAAGACAGAAAATTGAGAAATGGAAAAAGAAAAAAAAAACTGACAGTTTCCAGTTTTTAGAACAGATTTTGGTTTTTTTTTTTCCAAAAACTAATTTTTCATCAAATGATTCTCGTCAAAAGGATTCCTTAATTTTTGTAAAAATTAGATTTTCTAAAGATTAACCAATTTTTCGTAGAAACTAGAATTTCTATTCTATGGGTTTTCCCCCATTAATTGCCTGAGATTTTTATTTTTTATTTTTTGAAAAAAAAATCCTTCTAATTTTAGACATCAACTTTTTATAATAGAAACAACTGCATACTCTTCTCAACCAAACACACAAATACAAAAAAAAAATCTCATGTTACAAATCAAGCTGAAATTTTTTAGGTAAAGTTACTTAGTTACTTTTATATATTTTATCAAATTTTTATTTATAATTTTTGTAGTACAATTAATTAAAACTATTATACATATACTGTAATTTCTTATTATACATTTTTTTAAAAAAAGAGTAAAATGTGCCAGATGACTTCATTACTATTCATAATTAGGTAGATATTGTGTATTTTTCAATATGACGCTCTTACCCCTATATACCCAATTCTCTAACTCTCTATCTTCCTCGATCTCCGCCGATTTCATCTCTTAATTGGTCTTTTCTTTTCTCTCTCGTTCCCTGTAAAAAAAAGATTTTCTTATTCTTCTTCTTCAATGCCACCGTAAAACCATAGAAGATAATCTCCAGTCTTGAAGGTTGCTGCTTCAAGCTTGAGTGAATTTCTTTTTCCTTTAACTTTTTCGTTGAATTTTACCGACAATGTGACGAATTCCCATCTGGGTATTCCTTTTGAATCAAGTAGTACAATGATTCAAAAGGTTCTTGATGATTTACTACTCAGTTTCTTCGTCTATTTACTGAGTTTCGCTAGTTTCTCCGCCGCGCAGAACGGTGTTGATGATCCGACTATGCAAAATCTCAAATCGAGCCTAAATCTCACATTAGATGTCGACTGGTCTAACATTATCTTCGGATTTTAAATTAGCTTTCTAAATTAATTGTTAGATGGCTAACATTTATTTACTATCTATATCATATAAATGTTTAGATATATCTCTAACATTTCATTTAACTAGTGAGAAAATCATGAATTTACAAAGGAAAAAAGAACAAAAAAGGCAAGAGAGATCTGTTTTTGAAAGTTTTGAAAAGATTAAGTAAGAGAGATCTGTTTTGTTTTGACTTTTAACAGAAGGAAAAAAAAAAGAAAAGAGAATTTGAAAACTTTTTTTGAAGATAATTTAGCATTTAGAAACGTTTTGGTCGAAGAATAAAGATCGTGAATGAGAAAAAAAAACAAAACAAATCTATAAATCTAATTTGTTGATTTTTAAGAAAAAATTGGAGATTTAGATAGATTTTTATTTCTTAACCAATGTAAATATTTATTTGAAAATATTTTTAAATTTTTCTCTTCGAGTAAAAATATGTATTAATATTTTAATAGTAAAAACTAAATAGTGAAGGTAATATTTCAATGCAAAAAATTAAGGGGTTTTTGGTAAAAATAACCCAAAACTTGACTTTGAATACAAAAGTAGACCTCTGAAAAAATATTTGACAGATATAACCTAAAAAGGTAGTGAAAAGACCATTTAATCATGTATGAGTAAACAAAAAACGGAAGTCCTAATTACCGTTTACACCCTGACGAAGTCTACTAAAGGGAAAAAGAAGTCTAATCGAAATGAAGTCTACTAAGTAATTAAATTTGTAAATTTAATTTTAAAATTTATAAAAAAATTAGTTTGGTATCAAGTTTACAATTATAAATTCCGTAATTGTAACCCAAATGTACAGAAATTATTTTTTGATATTGCTAAATGGAAATGTATGTTTTTAAATTAAGTAGAAGTAAATTTATTATTTAGGTTTTAAAAGTTGTAGACTTCTATATTGAAGTCTACTAAACCGAATAAAATAACCTAACCGAAATTTTAACCGACATTAAACCGGGAATAACTTCCCTTAACCAAGAAAAACTGCCTGTAACCGGGTAAATTTATCTAGACCCCGTAAAATTAGTAACCCTAACCGAAAAAAACTTACCCGAACCGTACGAAATTACCAGACTATATATACGAATTTTCCAGATCCCATTAAAAAAAACCGTCGAAAGTTCGTGTAAGAAAAAAAAGTCGAAGGCGATTTCTGTTTCTCTGCTCCGGTGCCGCCGACATACAGAACCGCCGCCGATAAACTCGTTTAGGCAAGTTTTCTTTCTCCAACCACACCCCCATGCTTCCCTACTCCTCCGTATTCATCACCTTTCCGTTTTCGTAGCCACCAGTTTCCAGATCTGAAATTAGGTTTTTTTTTTTTTGCAGATCTGCTTTCGCCGTTGGAGGTTAACGTCATTTCCTGCCTCAAAACGGTTAGTAGATATTGTTCTGAAGTTATATACTTAGCAATTCTTATATTTCTTCTATCTTCGTGTTATTTTGTCCGTCGGGTTTGAGTTAGATCTGTCCGTCTGGCATTTTCTCGACGCCAGCTTCATCTAATAACGGCGGTAAACACTATAAACTTTGAAGATTCCATTTGGATGATTTGTTTTAGTAGACTTCATATACAGTATTTATCATGTATTGATTGCTTCGGTTGGGTTCAGTAGACTGCATATGCAGTATTTATGATGTTTTGATTGCTTCATGTGGATTCCGTTGACTTAATATACTGTTTTTTTATGTTAAGATTGCTTCGGTTGGCTTCAGTAAACTTCTCGACTCGGATTGTACTTAGAATGTGAAAGTAGACTTCATTTTGAAAAAGTAGACTTCATTTTGAAAAAGTAGACTTCATTATGAAAAAGTAGACTTCATTTTGAAAATGTAGACTTCATTTTGAAAATGTAGACTTCATTTTGAAAAAGTAGACTTCATTCATGTATAGTTTCAAACCATTACTAGTTTTTCTCATTAGAGCTTTGTTACCGTTGATGCAGAAATCTGTGTTAGATAATGGTGGCCTCTGAATTCCCTAGAAGACTGTACACCAAAGGGTTTGAGCCAGCCCCGGATAAAAGCATCGGCTATTATTCTGATGATTATAGGCTGGTACCTGCACTAAAGTCAGCTCTACAAGAGGATGAATGGGAAGAGATTTACGAGTCACCGTTGGGTGTCTTTTTAAAGTTCCACGACTTGGATTTTGGTTGGGCTTCTAGGCTGGTGCACCACATGCTGACCTTTCAGATAGTTTGCAAGCAGAGGTACGAGATATGGAGCCTGATTGGTACCACTCCAGTTCGGTTTTCATTGCATGAGTTTGAGGAGATCACCGGACTCAACTGCGGGTACGTGGATGACTTGGCTTTAACTGATCTTGCGCTTTCTGATGACACGCGTGCATTTAGGGAGCTAATGGGGGTTAATGCCGAGTCGGGCCCAAGCACTATCGAAATTATTGAAGCCTGTTCCAACTGCTCATCATGGTCTCGGGATGATAGGCTGTCGTTGGGTTATCTTGGGATCTACGCTGGTTTCATAGTGGCAACGAGACCTGGCTTATCCACAAATGTCAACCATGCCAGACTAGTGATGGATCTCGAAGGTTTTAAGGAGTTTCCATGGGGATGAATTTCTTTTCAGCATTTGATCAAGTCTGTTAAGGAGAAAGATCTCAGCAAAAACATTCATATAGAAGGATTTGTGCAAGCTCTTCAAGTGTGGGTGTACTATGCTCTGTCGGATTTTGCTGCTGAATTTGGCAAACCATTGCCAAATGATATTCAACCTCTTATGCTGGCTTACAAAGGATCAAGAGGACGAAAGAACGTCAAAGCCAACATGCTAAAACAGGTACTGTATTAGCGTAGTAGACTTCTATGTAGTAATGAATTTTCAAAGTAGACTTCATGTGTAGACTTCTATATGTACCATTGATAGTGTGAGACTTCAAGAGTAGACTTCTATGGTAGACTTCAGGAGTAGACTTCATACGTAGTTTTTCGAGGCTTCATATGGCTAGTAATTCATTTACTTATTGTGTTTTTCCAGGCTCGCATACAGTGCTGCGTGGCTAAGGACTTGGCGGATATGTTTCCCGTGTGGGATGATGACGAACAGGATCCAGATATTGTCAAGATTGTCAATGCAATCCATGACCCCCATTTTAAGTTCTCAAAAAACCATTGGCCTTTGGAAGGTGTTTTGGGTGCACACATCGTCAAGGCAGAAGCCGGAAAGAGGAGCCTTCCCTCAGATGAATCAAGTCGCAAGAGACCCTGCACAGCATCTACCTCTGCCGCCTCATTCGTTGGTGATGAAGGGGTCGGAGTTGTCGCTACTATGAAAGCGCACTTCGACCAATGCTTTAAAAGCTTTTCAACCAAGATGCTGAATGGTCTTGGTAGCTGTGAAAAACAGATCAAACGTCTCACCGAGAAGGTTGAATCTGTAGAGCGTGCGGTAGAGGAGTTGACTACAGGGTCGGCAAAGCACACTGAGGAAGAGGTTAAAGACAATGTAGAGCCAACCCAGCAGCAGGGCACTGGATCCAAGAAGCATGAAGGGGTTAGTACCAAAAACCCTCCGCCTATACGAAAACATTACATGCGAACAAGATCACACAAAGATAGGAACACTTAATACTAATGTCATTTGAATTCGAACATGTTTACTAGTGTTATGTACCATGTGAGATTATTTACTTATGTTTTAAAAACTAGTTGTTTACAATTTTCAGACTATGATGAAACATGTTACTAAATTATAGCATTGGTGTAGTCATTTGTATATTCATGCCTGTTTGTGACAATAAACTGCAGAGTAATTCAGATAAAGATGATGCTCTGATGAAAGATAATGTCAACGTTGGTGCGTGTGAGAGTGTTAACGCCCTCGGGGATGTAAAAGGAAAGAAGGCTGCCATGACGGAAGAAGAGGCCCCAGAGCCTATTTTTTGTGAAATTGACCCGAAGATGTGTGATGTTGACTTCGACGCGGTTGCACTAGCCAAAAATGCCAAAGCCAGAGCAGCGGCTCAGATAGTTGCCCGAGCAACGAGTGCCAGACACCGACAACTGCCTGCGACACAGAAGAGTCCGTTCTTAGGAAACAGCACCGCAAAGTCCATCATTCCATCGTCGGCATCTCACTCCGGCCGTGTCCGTGGATATGATCCTTTCGATCAAATCGGTGTCAAGGCGAAGTATACCACTCTAATGAACTTTATCAAAGCAAACCCGTAAGTAGACTTCTATACGTATATAAGTAGAATTCCTCATAGTATTATTTTCTGTATAACTTTTTCACTTATACAGTGCCTATCCAAGACGCCCAAAAAACTCTTCGATCGACTGGTATTACATTCTCCGGACACCGACGAAATGGCTAGCTGATACTGTTAGTGTTTTACTTTCTCATATTAGACTTCATGTTTAGACTTCATACGTAGACCTATTATGTAGACTTCTATAGTAGACTTCGTTTGCAGACATAAGACTTCGTTTGCATACTTCACTCATGTCTTATTTTCATCAATGTGCAGCACATGGAAGCTTACATTAACGTACTCAGGCTGCGATTATCCAAGCATCCGGAGTGGTTTGTATCCGACCGGATTTGCTTCCTCAACTCCATGTTTGCTACTGTTTGGAGGCGTGACTAAAATGACTTCAAAAACTCTGAGCCGAATGCAGATGGGTCTGGAAAACTTCTACCGCCTGGAGCGTATTTGTACTACACTAGCGAATTACCTATCTACTGCCAGACTAAGAAGACGTGGGCATATGATGTCGATTATTTGTACTCCATGTTGCACATCAGGGGGGACCATTGGATAGCTATATGGGTTTCATTTGTGATGAGGCATATCACGATATGGGATAGTCATGCGGGAACCAAACATGCATCTGACGCCCAAATTGACGAAGCTGTGGAGCCTCTTGCTGTTATGATACCCTAACATATATATTATCAGACCATGACATGGGCGTGCTCCCTGTTTCACCATATCTGTTTCTGACATTTTCAATACAGACTTCATCTTCACCATCATCTTCATCTTTCACTTTACCGTAGACACTGTAATCTTCTCCGTCAGAGTAAGCTGCATCGTCGACATTTTCTCCATCCTCGTTCACATCAGAACTGTCTGCCTCATCATCGGTAGAATGTTCTGAATTTTCCTCAGACTCCTCACCTAAATCTTCATCTGATCCTTCCTGGTTTTCCTCAGTATCCATCTCCACTCGACTGGACACACAAAGACGTACCATATGCACTCTGCTTAACGCAATCAAGCTTGAAACTTGTCTATCATTGGTGACATGCATTGGAGGTGTATCTGGAGCCATAGTTTGCAACATTGAGACTGATAGTGTGTAGGTTAACTCGATGAGCTCAGTCTTCTTTCCCAAGTTATAATCATCTCGCGCCATCTCAGTAAGCTCCCCCAAGGTGCAACCATCATTCAAAAACCACATTCTTCCACCTTTGCCCATGTCAACAACAAAATGCCATGAATTCTCCTCAATCTTCCACTCACCGTACACAACTGGAATTTGAGCCATTCTCTGAAAAAATAACCATATAAACAAATTAAAATATATTAGCAAACACTGCATAGAGACTTTTTGTATCAAGAGTGGACTTCTACCGAAAAGAACATTAGTAGACTACACGACGAAGTCTACTTTGATAAGCTAAGTACATAAAAAATCGAAACTTCTGATTCAACAATAAATATCCAATGAAATGAAATAAAATTCACTGGGTATTTCAATCACTTACTAAGAAGCAGTTATAAACCAAAAAATTTGAAAAATAGTTTATAAATTTGCTTAAAACGCGTTTTAAAAAAAACGTCTAAAAGTAAACTTCTAAAGCAGACTTCGAATGTAGACTGGAGGAGAAGTCTACTTTGATAAGCTAAGTACATAAAAAATCAAAACTTCTGATTCAACAATAAATATCCAATGAAATGAAATAAAATTCAATGGGTTGTTCAATCACTTACTAAGAAGCAATTCTAAACCAAAAAATTTGAAAAATAGTTTATAAATTTGCTTAAAACGCGTTTTTAAAAACACGTCAAAAAGTAGACTTCGTAAGCAGACTTCAAATGTAGACTGGATGAGAAGTCTACTTTTTCATTGAGAAGTCTACTAATGAAGTCTACTAAAAAAGGTCATTTTTGCAATTGACCAATCTGTTGACTTTTCCTTCAGTAAACTTCAGGAGTAGACTTCAGTCAAAAAAGGTTACTTTAGCATTTGACCGATGCATTGACTAACAGAGTAGACTTCTATTGTAGACTTCATGTTAGAGTAGACTTCTCTGACAGTCTACTTTTGAAGTCTACTTTTTAAATAGAAGTCTATGGAACAAAAAAGGTTATTTTTGCAATTGATTTTTTTGAATAGACTTCACAATGAATTCTACTCAAAAAAGGATTCCTTCTAAGTTTGACCGAACAAAATAAGTAGACTTCACAAAGAAGTCTATAATTTGTAGACTTCTTTGGGAAGTCTACTGAAGTTTTTTGGAAATTTTTTAAATTTTTTAATTTTTGAAAAACAGAAGTCAAACACAAAAATGACCTATACGTTTTTGGTCAAACTACAATAGTAACTTTAAAGTAGACTTCGTATGCAGACGTAAGCACTAGACTTCATACGGAAGTCTAAATCAAAAAGTCAAAATACGGTCAACTACAAAAATAACCTCTTTTCTTTAGTAGACTTCTTGAGCCTTCAAACGAAGTCTACTAAGTTTTTTTTTGTTTTCAAAGGATGCTAGTAGACTTCTCGTGAAGTTTAACGAAGTCTACTTTTTAAAAGTCAATTGCAAAAATAACCTTATGTTAACTAGTAGACTTCAGTATAATTCACGAGAAATCTACTTTCGCGATATAAAAACTGAAATGTGGAGAAATTGAAGTGCGAGGATTACCTTTAACAAAATTTGGCTCGCCTAAGTTTCTCTTATCCACACAGAACTCAGGATTTCACCGAAATTAAACAACCCAGGTGTCGAGTAACCAGAAATCACCGAAAAAGCATGGCGCGAAGCGTTGTAACTTTGCCCAGATGTTTTGGAGAAGAAATTATGAAAGAATGAGCAAGGTTATAAGTGAATGAGGTCAGATATTTGTTTTATTACAGCTTTAAAATTGGTTGAGAAGCATTTATTCCATTTTCATGGTTGTTCATGGTGGTTGAAAAAATTGAAGAAGATGGCATTCTCGTAATTAAAAGGTCTTTAGAAGGTCCAAGGAGACTTTAGCCAAATTAAAGAAAAATCGAAATAATAGATGTATAATGGCATTTTCGTTAATAGTTTAAGTGGGAAGGATAAAATTGTGAGAAAATAGCAAAAGTTGGAGAGAGAACAAAAAGAGGTTAGTTTGGTGTTTGACTTTGAAATGGGTTATAAGTGAAACTCTCCCTAATATATACTGTATATGTTATATACATCATTTTTAGTGATATAAAGTAGTAATTTTTTTAAATGATGTTAATTCAAATTTTGTAAATACATCAATTATTTAATTGACATAAATTTAAATTATTTTATTAGTCTTTTTGAAGTGATATAAACTGATATGGTCCCTCTTCAAACCTAAGAAATTTGTACTGAAAACATAAAATAATTCTTTAGATAGTAATAAATATATCTTTTTGGGTTTTTCATAATATTTATAAAGAAACAATACAAAAACACTGGAGTTCAACTCCTATAACAACATAAACATGGGAAAGTGGTTGAACTGGTTCCTTACAATCAGAAAGACCATTTCAACTTATTAGCATAAACAAGAAATACAATTATGCAGAAAAACAAAGACCGAGTCTCTTAATTAATAAACCTTTTGTTGGACTTACGGCCTCTTGTGGATTGTCATCGTGGACCTAGGTCGAGAGGCCCACCCATCTGCTCTGCATCAATACTCCCGTCCTGAAGATGAACCTTGTCTTCAAGGTTCGTTGTGAAATCAAGAAAGCTAGTTTCAAGCTGAGCAAGGGATTCCCATGTAGTATCATCGGCTGAGAACTCTTGCCACTGCACTAAAACTTCTGCTTCTCTGTTACTGCCCTGCTTAGTCCAACGAATATCAACAACCTTGTCGGAAATAAGTTTGAACATGCTATTGTCACGAAGTGGTGGAAGCACACCCATATTCCTGAGCCAATCCATCGTTTAAGCAAAGAAAAATGAAAGACCGGATGTATTTTAGTACTTTCAAGAAGATTCAGACGATCAGCAACTTGCCCCACGTTCGCTAAGATCTAGAAAGGTTCATAAAACCGATGAGAGAGCTTCTATAAACTGCGACAAAAAGTGTTTTCTGTCTATATGGTTGGACTCGCAACACCACCCAATCTCCCACACTGAACTGCACATCCCAGCGTTTGGAGTCAGCCAGTTGCTTCATTCTATTGTAAGCGGCTGTGAGATGGTCCTTTCGCTCTGCGAGAAGCTCATCTCGTGTAGCTAACTGCTGATCAATCTCTCCAATCACTGCAGAACTTGGTTCATACACTAGCATAGGGGGTGGTGCACGGTCATACAACGCTTGAAAGAGAGTGGTCCCAATTAAAGCATGAAAAGACGTATTAAACCAAAATTCACCACAAGGGATGTACGAACTCTACTGTTTTGGATGGTGATGTACCAAACAGCGCAAAAACTGCTCGACACAACGGTTGACGACTTTGGTTTGGCCGTCGGATTGAGGGTGATACGCCGTTGACATGCGCAATTGAGTGCCTGCAAGTTTCCAAAATTTCTTCCAAAAGGCACTAACAAAGATTGGGTCACGGTCACTCACAATAGATCGAGGAATGCCATGTAGCTTCATCACGCCACGAACTTAGCCACCACAGTTGGTGCGGTGTATGGATGTGTCAATGGAACGAGATGAGCAAACTTAGAGAGTCTGTCAATGACCACCATAGTGAGGTATGACCATTGGATTTTGGCAGACCGTCTATGAAATCCATAGAGATGTCTTCCCACACTTGTGATAGAATTGGTAGAGATTAAAGCAATCCTACAGGTGAGAGAGAAGAATAATTTGCTTTTTGATAGACTGTACACGTGTGACATATTTGCGGACTACTCGGTGCATTAATGGCCAATAAAATTGTTGAGCTAAACGTTTGTAAGTGCGAACCGTACTCGAGTGTCGTCCCATAGGTGTATCGTGGTATTCCAAGAGAGTTTGTGAGATAAACTTTGACCCATGTGGAATAACGATGCAACTGATGAAACAGAGCAATCCATCGCTCCACATAAAGGTTGTCCTGGTGATGCTTTTGCTCTCTTTTCCATCGCTACAAGATAAGGATCAGTGTCTGCAGCTTATCGGATTTCTTCCCACAGATTCGATTGTTGAACGAAAACTGCGTTAAGGCTAGGGAAGTCGCATCGGCATGATAGATCATCAGCAACGGCGTTCGTCGAATCTGGTTTGTAGGTGATATCATAATCGTAGCCGACGAGTTTCCCCATCCATCGTTGTTGCTCAGGGTGAGAATTTGCTGTTCCAACAGGAAATGGATACTTCGCTGATCGGTCTGGATCTGAAAACGGTGACCCAGAATGTATAGCCTCCACAACCTGATTGCAATGACAATTGCCAACATCTCTCGCATAAGTGGACCA